ATAAGAAAAGCCAGGGACAGAAATGATTTTGCTGAGGTTATCGCCAACCTTCATTGAAGACGGCATCTAAAGAAGAAGACTTATACAAAGAGCTCGAGACGTACATTGCGAAGTCTACGCATGCTTTATACTTTGAAAAAGCATTTGACAAAGTGCAACATCAAAAATTATTTCAGATACTGAAAGAATCTAGTATTGATGACAAAGATTTACGCCTAATTAAAAATTTTTAATTACGGCAAAGGGCAACTGTGCGAGTAGACAACGAAACCTCATAAGAATTCACGATAGAACGGGGAGTACGCCAGGGCTGCATTTTGTCACCGACATTGTTCAATACTTACTCGGAAATGCTGTTCAGGGAAGCTGTTGATGGTTTAAGAGAAGCACTACACATTTTTACGCATTTATGGGTAGTAGCCACTGGGAACACCAAGTTAAAATAGAGTCCAAGTCATTTGGAGAGTTAGCTGGTTTGTAATTGAATTGGCATATATTTTTGTGCCATCCACATAGAGCGATATTTTACTTAACACAATAAGATATACCGCTGGTACAAACCGTAAAAAGCAGAGGTCCAAAGACAGAACCCTGTAGCACTCACACAACCTGTCTTAAGAGAGAGATAATATAAACCATTTGGGATATTTTTTTAAGGATTGCTGGCATTTGGTTGATGTGATATATACCTTTTAGGCGAATTGTAGTATAAATAAAAATATTGAGGTATGCTTAAGAGGTATTTATTAAAATTAAAAGTATACATTAAATTGCTTTACACAATTTTACGATCATAATAGTATTTAATATATAAATGATTCATGCTGTTTTAATTGAAAGTTGACAAAGAAGCTAATTATAACACCATAATGTAAGTTATTGTTAGTAAATCATTCACCACATGGAAGTATCACAGGATCTAGTACTAGTTTAAGATGAATATGTTACTAAATATATTGCTTTGCAGGTAAGAACAAATAAAAGTTTCAAATATTCCAAGCGTGTAAAATTTTTGTGTACTTTTAAGTTTATGGCAGTAGAAAGAAAAAAGTCTTTTGTATTAGGAAGTAATATAAAAATAATAAATGACAAGTACATTGAATAATACACATTTGATTCTGTCTAACTTTAAACAAGTAATAATCAAATATTGAGGAAAAGGGCACCAAAGTTCTTTAAGTTTATTTCTACTTCCTCTTTTTGTATAAAGCATCTGCATAAAATTGTCTTTTGTAATCTTAATTAAAGATAATGGAAATAGCTCTGAAACGTATATCCAATTTAGGATCTTCTAATAGAGCCTTCCGAACTTTTACAGTTGGTAGCAGCTATATTGTTGAAGCTGCATCTGTCAAATTAGCTGTCACTTATTTAGTCCGTTCTGCTGAATCACCATAGATGGATATAGTATACAACATGTGTAAATGCAATATATGCTTGCAAAATTTTATTGCAAATGCACGTGCGATAAAATTATTTTATCAAAATTGGTGTTCTCTTCAATCAAAAGTATTACTTCTTTTTAGGTACCGTCTCCTCTAAGGAGTTTGGTAATCATCACAGCTATTATCACTTTTGAGATTGCAGCTCTGAACAAGTCGATGGAACTGCAATTATACCACTTTCTCAGATTGTTGAGCCAGGAGATATGTCTTCTTCCAATACTTCGTTTTCCCTGTATTTTTCCCTGCATTATGGTTTGTAGTAACATATATTTATCCCCTAACGTGGCCAAAATATTGTAACTGGCCATTAAAACAACTCCTACTGCATCGTTGGAAGTCCTGCTAAAACTACCACCACCTCATATTTTTATACGGGGCGAAGCCAGATCAGTATCTAATCGAGGAGCTAAAAGCCGATATTGTGATGGGGAAACCTATCGATGCAACAGCTACTAGGTATAGCTTTAACAATAAGTTCACAATTAAGATACCAGGCAGGGAAGACTGAAATAAAGGTGTATATAGGTGTCATACAAGCTGCTGCTACCTGGTACATGGATGGCTCAAAAATATCGGAGGATGTGGGAGCCGACATAGTAGAGACAAATCAAGGGATACACCTCCCGGTAAGTCTATCTCAGGATGTGACAGTTTTCCAGGCGGAAAAAACGGCAATCCATCATTGCGCGGAAGAAATAGAAAGGCAGGAAAGAACGTTCTGTTCAGTTGCAGGTCTTCACAGATAATTGAATGGGTATGCCTGGGTACCGGGATACGAGGGTCATAAGGGTAATGAAAAAGCAGATGAAATGGCCCACGAAGGCTCATAAATGCCATTCATTGGACCGGAACCCTTCTGCGGCATTGCAAAGTCAGTAAGAAGGACGGCTACAAGGAACTGGGTAGCTCACAAATCTCTGGAATAGTGGAGGAATTCACCAGGCCAAAGACAAGCCAAACAGTTCATTACAGAACATTTGCCAAAATTTACGGCAGACCTAAAAAGAAAAGACAGGAAAACAGTCAAAGCCATAGTAGGTCTTCTAACATGGCACTGTAAGCTGATTAGGCACTTGAAGCTGATGGGAGATAGGATGGAAGAAACATCAGAGCACATTTTATGCCAGTGTGAGTCTGGAAATGTGCGGTTATTTGCATTAAGAGAAGAATATTCACCGGCAAATAGCTACATGGAAAATACAGTCTCGAAGCTATTAGATTTTATAAAAAGGGTCAGGCTAGATAATGATATACAGGCCTAGAGGACTACAATAGATCTGAAAAGGTCGCAGTGGAATAGGCCAAAAAGCCACCTCTCTAAATCTATCTATATATCTATCTATCAATCAAAATTATTAATTTGCATATTTGTGACAACAACACACAAAGAGCTTGGATTACTCTTTACTATAGAAAAGTTTAGATCAAAATAAATTACGACAACCTCGTTTAGGCTTTTGCCTCCTTAAGGAATGGAGGCTTCCGTTATTTTTTTTGTGAAAGTTTGAAATGGGGGTCGAGTGACATGAGCTGTGAGAAAAGGAAGAAATATAAGATGGGAAGGAGTTGACCAGAAGATAGCTATCTAAGTGTTACCAAAAATACAAATTAGGGAACGGCTCTTGGATTTAGCGTTTTCGGCTTGGAAGATTATCTGCGATATTTTAGTAAATTAGCTTTTAGGACCATGAAATACTGACTAGGAAGTTCGTAGCCTGATAAGTTGAGAAGCTTACCTGGACGTTACTTACATTAAACTTTGTGCTTAGGGAATCTGGTGCATATATGCCCTTAGCGGTGGCAGGGAGTTTTTATTTATAACTTATTTTGCTCTGATGTTGGAGCTCTCAATGGTTTGTAGTACATATCTCTGAGATAATGGAGTACACTTGAGTGTACTGTTCAGGATGTGTAATGTCAATGCTCCAGCTGAGAGCTTTACTAAATTCGACGACCAGGTAAGACTTCGATGGTCTGAAGTGGAGGCTTTCACTATTGAGTACTATCCGGTTCTCATCATCTATATGTCGAGATAAACCAGGGTATCTGAATAAGATTAGCTTTGTTTTAGCAAGGTTAAGTGTGGCTCTATTTATTCCTCCGTTTGACTATCATATCTAGCTTATCTTGGGCCTTATCTAACACAGATTGACTTCTCACAGTACGATTAGGGGTACTTGTGAAAAAGAATGTAATATTGTCAGTGTATATTAAGATGAAGTCAGATCTTTTGGCAGGAAAAGTTTCTGTTACTTGACTGTATATAAAAAGAGTACTAGAATTGAACTCTAAGGGACTCCGGTTTGATTAAAAAGATAGGAATGAATTTTTTTTAGAAAAGGATTTCGCAGTCCAGTGCGATAGAGTTTATCAATCACACCTGCGTGCCAGACTTGATTGACTGACAGAACGTTTAGAATGTCGTGGTCATTTGTATGCCAACTTTGATGAGAAGTATCATGTAGAATCAATGTAAAAATGCGCTTTGTTGAACAGTTATTTTTTTCACTCACCAATTTAGTTCTCGCAATGGTAACTACAACTATAATTTTTATATGACTTAATACGACAGAAATGGTGCTCAGTCTCGGAAAATATATGAGATTGATTATTTTGTCATATTAAACCAGGAAAAATGGTTTTAGCTCATCGAACAAATTAAAGAAGGTTGACTAAAGAAAACATTGATGAGAGTATCAAAAAAGAAGAAAGATACTGAAGATTTCATTTAAATATATAAAAAAAACATTGATTTTTTTTGTTTTCTAATAAATACTCAGTATTTGTGCAAAATAAGACAGACTCAACTATAAAAAATGTTTTGTTCTCACCTCTTCTTGTATAAAAGATTGTTCTCACCTGAGTTAGTCATTACTATATGTAGTTCGTTTTTTTGTAAACTGATTTTCAAAATATTTGAAAATAGTTTTATTTTTTAACATCATCTTATTAAAACATTCGTTGTGCCTAGTTCGTAACAGTTCTTTTGCCTATTTTATGTTTTGCCAGAGCATCATCCTATTAATAATAGTATTTATAAAAAGGATGATGCTTAAAGAATTTGCTTGAGTGGTGATGACCTGCCATGCTGTTAACTCCGGCTCCATTGTTGAGACCGTAAATAGATCCACTGTTTCCGTACTTCGCTTCTCCATATCTGAAATAAAAGGATGTTTAATGTAACTTTTCCTTTTCTACTGTGTAACAGCAAATGAGCATGAATAAAAAAACGCAGTAGAAGAAAATAGAGACGGTTATCGGAAAGAATAGGTACATGAAACGTAAACCTAGAAAGAATATTTTGCAAATAATTTATGTGAGTTACAGAATATGATGGATACGGCAGTATGTATGAAATAACGATGGATTTCCAAATTGACAATTTTGGAATATTATTGCAAATTATGAAAGTTAATACAAAGAAAAATAATGGAATCATTTCTAATAAAACTGATATAATCAAACGTTCCTAAGGATCAAATAAAGAAACCAAGCAAACGAAAATTAAAGCAAGAATATAGCAAAAAAAGTTGAAGGGTGAAAAACAAGCAAAAACTAGTGCACTATAGACTTATCTGAAAGTGATTCTAGATAATAGTTATCTGCATACCTCCCTTGGCCTCCATTGGCCTTATCAAATAGGTACTGTTGATTGAAATGTCCCTCCTTCTTTGCTTCTCCGGCGGAGAATTTGCCGTCCTCTTTACCTCCTTTATAGGCATTGCCTGCATTCTCTCCAAAGCTTCCCGCTCGGTTGTTGAACATGTAGTTGCCACCCTCATCGTGATCCTCGTCATAGAATTCTTCTGTCTTGCCGGATTCTTGTTTTTGGTGAGAGTTCTTGAATCCCTTAATTTTATGTCCTTTCTTGTGACCTTTCATCATACTCTCAGCTCCTTCGTTCTTACCTAAAAATTATTAAAAAAAATGTTGTTTTTTATCTTAGCTGCATAAAAATTTGGTAAGTAAATAATAATGCAAGATCTTTATACCTTCTTGATCATATTTTTGTGCCCCGTGGTACATATTTCCGTCTTCATAAACATTTTTACCGCCATTGGCACCACTGTAGTATCCAGAATCTCCCTTTATATCTTTTGCGGCCACTTCTCCCTGATTATAGCCCCCCTGTCCATTGTTGTACTGACCGCCTTGATTACCATGAGCTTGCTCGTACCTTAAATATAATAAATACCGTAAGTTATTTCCATAATTGTTAATGGATTCATATATTTACCTTAAATCGTTTAAATTTTGGTTTCCTTTACTGTACTGTCCTCCATCGACCTCCGAACCTCCGTAGCCATGGTGCATACCACCACCCATCATACCACCGCCCATCATACCACCGCCCATCATCCCACCGCCTCCCATCATTCCAGCGCCAGCTCCCATCATGCCAGCGCCCATCATTCCAGCACCACCCATCATTCCAGCTCCCCCCATCATTCCTCCACCCATCATTCCAGTTCCGGCTCCGATGTTGGTATGGAGACCTCCTCCGCCCATACCTGAAAACAAATTGGTTGTGTAAATAATGTTTTTTTTTTCATAGAAAATATATTTATTATTATTAATAATAATAATTAGTATTGAAAGCATATCCTAGTGCTGATGAAGTCTCCGATATTAATATTAAACTGAGAAAACAACAAAAAGAAAAGTAAAATTGAGAGTAAATTTGTCAAAGTTTGAGGGTGAAAAATGTAATAACAAATAAGTGAAGCAATTATACCAGAATTCACAGAAGTTTCAAAAGAGATATTAACCTGATGAAATGAAGGCGGTAGTACCATAACGCTAGCGAAACCTCTGTGGGTAGAAAAGTACCAAGTTCCAAAAAAGACTGGATAACAGGTATTATAAATCTCATAGAAGAAAAACGAAAATACAGAAATACAAATACAGAAAAATACAAGCAAATAAAGAGACTAGTAGAAACGCAGACTAAGAAAGCTAAAGAACGCTGGATGGATGAAAATTGCAAAGCAAAAGAAGAATTTATTATGAAACACGACACACATAACCTACATAAGAAACTGAAAAAAATTGTTTGTTGTAAGGATAGAAGATAGTGAGACTATCAAGTAGAAATTCAAAGAGGAGTCATACAGGGATGTGTGCTGTCGCCACAATTATTTAATGTGTACTCTTAACTACATAATATTACAGGAGCCACTATAAAATTGGTGGAATAGCTGAGTCATTTAAAATGAACAACAGTCTTTGCAACATTATCTTTGGCTATGTGTAAAAACTTTCTTAGCCATACCAGTTCAAGGGAGTAAAGGTACCAACTTACCTACAACGTCTTCGAAGTGCACAATATGGCAAACAAAAAGAGTATAGCAAAAAGAATAGCCATATAAAGTCCAAATAAAGTAACTTTATTTCTTATGGATTACATTAACTGTGTGATAGCTGGCCACGTAATGCATCTTTATCATTTCTCAGACAGCTGTATTTTTCACTATCGAAAACACGTATGGATTAGATGTACTTTCTTTAGTAGAAAATGGACAATTTTATAATATTAATAATTATTTTGCAGAGCGTAGTCATTCATTGTTACGTAATGACAGAAATATTGCGTCTGTATTAAACCAACTGAATAATCAATTTGGCAGGTGCAATTTGTGATCTATGGATTAATATTCTGAGCAGCAAAAAATAAAATGGTGGTTATTCAATTAATTGTAGATATTTTAAAAAGACATTTTTATAAGTAACGATCTTCAAGATTATTCTAATATTTGTTTGAATGACAGAATAGAAGTAAGCAAGCAAATATCAAAAGGACATCAATGTAATGTTTATTGACTTCGAAGGAACCTTTGACCGTATAAACAGAGAACGAATGTAGAATATTTCTAAACAGTATGGACTATTGACGGAGCATATTAACCATATTAAATTATTCTATGATGAAGAAATAATTTGCGTGTGAAATGGCAGAATTAATAGTTATTCAGAATGGCGTTAAACAAGAATGAGCCTTTCACAGATCTTGTTCCTAATCCTCTACTGGATCATGAGTAAAGTAAACCATAATAGAACGGGCATTAGATGGAATATATACAGCCAGTGTTACCGGACTTCTGAATCATATGTAAAACAGCTCGATAAGCTCCCTCAATATTTCGATATAATGATCTTTAAAGTAAATACAGAGAAAATCAGAGTCAACAAAGATAGAGAACTGCTAAAGACTGTTAAACATCGAAAAATGTCTTATCTGGGACATGTAGTAAGGGGAAGTCGATATAAAATATTACAACTGATCCTTAAAGGTAAAATAGAGGACCGTAGAGGTGTAGGAAGAAAACAAGTTTCTTGGTTAAAAAACATTCGTGAATGGACTTATTCCATATTGCAGAAGATCGAGAAGCCTTCAAAATGGTGATCGCCAATGTTGGATAATTCTGATATGGCACGCGAAGAAGAAGACAGAGAAAATGAACAGTAAAAAAAATAAAACGAAGTAAACAGTGCCACATAGCTGGGTTGTATTAAGAGTGTAACAGTTGCATTAGGAATATTCTCCTATATTGCACAGAGATTTGAAAACGTGAACAGACAACCACAAAAAAAGTGCTAACATCTATTCATAGATGAATAAAAAATATCTTAAAAATATACTGCTCTGAGAAAATATCAAATTCAGAACTAAGAAGAACAAAACAAGACAAGATAACAAAAACAAATAAATAAATGTAAATGCATACGGCATAAACTAAGGAAAGATCAAAATAACATAGCCAAGCTGACGCGAGCCAGATTCGAGTATCAATCTGACGGATAAAAAGAAGAGGACGATAGCAGTAGAGAAGGTGACATATGAATTAAGACGGTGCATTTTTAAAACAATTATTTAATTATCTGTTGTATTGTTTTTAATCCAAATTAATGAAAGAGATGGCATGCTCATTAAAAATAGCTAACTTCTTCTTGTCTTCACCATTTCTTATGTTCAAGACTGTATTTCTGTGTAAGTATATTGAGCGTTAATTTTAAGTAATATAAAAGAATATATTAGCAACAAAAGTAATTATATCATAAGAAACACTCACCTATTCCAGCACCTCCCATTCCCATTCCACCTCCCATCATCGCACCTTTAGTCATCATTCCTGCTCCTCCGGCTCCCATCATACCAGCTCCTCCTCCACCCATCATTCCTGCTCCTGCACCCATCATTCCCGCTCCACCAGCACCCATCATTCCAGCTCCACCTGCCCCCATCATTCCAGCTCCACCGGCGCCCATCATACCAGCTCCTTCGCCTCCCATCATACCCATTTCTGCACCCATCATTCCACCACCCATCATTCCGCCGCCCATCATCCCGCCACCCATCATTTTACCACCGGATCCAACTAAATTGCCTCCGCCGCCCATTCCCATACCCACCGGATAGTAACCGCACAAAACATTTTCGAAAAATAAAACAAAAACTAATCCGAGTATACTGATGGTTGCCATCTTCTTCTGATAATGGATGGAACTCGAATGATTTGGAGACTTCTAGGGGAAAGATTTTATAATGAAGATTTTCTACGGTATTTTTCAGACCTTTGAAAGGTTATTTTTACGGTTTATTGTGATTTCGGTGGTTCTATTGTTGGAATAATGTTTGTGGAACATTTTTGTTAAGTGAAGACAATGAGAAGGTCGGTATTCGTCGGTCAGGATGTACGGTTTGTATAGGAAATTAGGTTACGAGGATATGTTATTGGAACTCGAGTTCTTATGTTTCCTTTTAAGATAGTCTAGTGCACACACCCAGATACTGCTAATTGCGTTTTTTTATAATATATATCATTATAGGTAACTTGTAGTTTGTGTTACAGTTTCAAACAGAAATGAAGAATTTGTAATTTCACCATTTATTAATTTGAATGTTTTATTATAAAATATGTACACTGCCAAACAAAAGGATGTTTGAATTTTCTACTTGTAAAATGACTTTAAATTAAAAAAAGTGAAATGTGTGAAAGTATTCAGGTATAAAAAAAAAATACCAAGGTGGTTATAGGCACACACAAAGATCTGAATACTGTTCAGATTTTTTTTCTGTCATTCTAATGTATCTTAAAATTAATAAAATTAATTCATGTTAATCTGGTATTTACCTGGTCCCTATTCAAGTATTTCGATTGTAGTATCTCTAAAAATACTAGGTATCTATTTTTTCTTCCTCAGATTTTCCCTTTTTAGGGATTTGCTACAATTTCTGCCCATCTAATCGTCTTTATTTAAATCTTTTTCCCCCAAATCCTCTGCTACATAGCCCTGTTATCTTCTATTCGGTTTTCTCTACCTCTATTTTTCCTCAACTTTCCCACATAGTTATCATTTCTATGTGTAACATTACCAAATCATCTTTGTTCTTTAAACGTTTTTGAAACTCCGGGCTTTCCCTAAATCCACCGTTACATTTCCATTTCAGCTACCTGCTTCTTCTGTTCCTGAACATTCATTTTTTATAGGCCACATTTCACCGTCGTACACTATGCAGGTCGTACCACACTCTTGTATATCTTTCCTTTCAGTTTTTTCCCGATTTTTCAGTCACCTACTATCCCGCTCAATCTCAGCTCAGCTTGTGTCCTGTGGGCAATTTCTCAATCTAATGTCCCATTTATCGTTATGTAGGAGGCAAGCTATTTAAATTCTCCTACTCATCCTAGTTTTTCCTAAAGCAATTCGATGTGCTCAACAATTTCTCTTCTTCTCAACCACTTATACTCCGTCTCCGACCTGTTAACTTTAAGACTTCCCTTTCAGCCCTTTTTGAACCTTCCAACGTCTTCTCCAACATTTATTTGCTCTCCTCCACTAACGCGATATTATTCGCAAAGAGCATTGACCAAGGAGCCCCTCTCTTACTTTTCCTGTCATTACATCCATAATAAGTTTGAACAGGTAGGGCTTAGTAAAGAGCCTAAATGCAAACTAACCGTCACAGGAAAAGTTTCGATCAATTTGACACAAGTGCTAACTTTGGTGTACACTTCCACATACATATCCTTCAAAATCCTTAAGTACTTTTCAGGAACCTATTTCTCTCTCATACATCTCCATAGCGATGGAGATCTTATCTTGAAACTTTACCGTACATCTTCTCAAGATCTATAAATACCAAATGTAGTGTTTTTTTTTATTTTTACGTATTTTTCCATCAACTGTCTCAAACAAACAAGACATCCGTTGTAACTACAAACTATTCTTCACATATCCCTTTAAACTTCGCTCTACAGTTCTCTACCAAAATTTCATCGTGTGCGACAATAACTTTATTCCTCAGACCTGAATGTCCCCTTTATCTTCATACAGTGGTACCCTCATGCTCTCAAAGAAAATATTCCCATGCATTGGGAATATTTTCTTTCTCATATATCCCACTCATCATTTGTCACAACACATCAACTCTTTCCTCTCCTAGACCTTTCTACACTTTCCTGCCTTACCATTGTTCATATTATTTAAAGCCACGACAACCTCATCTCTGGTTATCACAGGTATTACATTCTCATTTGGGGTCCCGCATCCTCTAACTCTCATCTTTCGTTCTTTATTTAGCAACTTTCTAAAGTACTCATACTGTCTTTGCTTTACTTTAAGAATAAAACTTTCCGACACAAATGTAACCTCAATCTTTTGTTGATATAAACTGAGAGTTTCACTGCTATAAAACAAATTGTGTAAATACAGTGAATTATTGGAAATTAGCAATTCGCTCGAAAAATGGATTTTAGCTGAGAACATGTTTGAGCAATATTTTTTACAATTTTCGGACAGGTTTATCCTCTCCAGAAACAGCAATATCTCGCTGAAATAATTTCTGTGCTTGGAAATGAAACATCATACCAATCAACTATTTCTCGCTAGTACTGCGAATTTCAACGTGGTGGCTTCAGTCTCAGCGACGAATCCGAGCTAGGTCCACCCAAAATAGCAGTCACACAGCAAAACATTGACGTGGTTCGTTATCTAATTAAGGATGACCACCGTGTAACAATCTGGAGATAGAGGCATCTTAGGGCATTTCAAAGACCTCGATCTAAAAGATTTTACATAAAGAACTGGGTGTTACGAAGTAGCTTCCCGTTGGATCCCTTATTTGCTGAATTGGCTCAATTGCTCGGGTCAGTTGGCATTACTTTTGATTGGTATATAACCGTTTGTTTACCAGAAGTTATCACGAAACTCCGATAAAGCAACGCACAACGGCGAATCATCCTGCGTCAGGACAATGTAGTAGCTTACACTGCCCAAAAGACAATAAAATTCTTGGAGCTTCAAAATATCACAACAAACAAGAATTCAATGCGTGGGAAGCGATTCCAGTTGTCAGAAGAAGCCATCAATGCCTTTAAAACAAGGATTTTGAAGGTGTCAACTGAAGACTGAAATCGCTGTTTTACCAGTTGGTTTGAATGTATGTAAAAATGTGTCGATCATAGTGGGACATATTTTGAAAAGCAATAAAGTACTTTAAGTTTATATATTTTTGTCTTGATGGGTATATACAAAACTAAAAAGACAACCCTCTAACCCTCGTACGTACTACACACGCATATTATAAGTATTCACAATTTTTGTTTAGCTGCAACGTTAAATATTCTGAAGAAATTTGATAAAAGCAACAATACTGCCAACTGTCTCGTATCTTCAATAAAGTTGTCTACGATTACTAAAAACCAATAAACCATTTTTAGCTATAATATTTTAGAGTATGTAGTTTTATTTTTTTTTTTTGGAATTGCGTGTTGAAAATTGCGATTTTATTTTGCGATTGCGAAAATTTTTTTACGTTGATATTTTCATGCTATTTTAAACAAGGGTATCAAAATAGGTTAATTTTACATTTGTTTTTCTTTTACACCTATTTAAATTACTCTTAACCTCAAAATTCCAATAAACTTATTTGTTTAAACAATATTCAGCTTTAATAAAGCGTAAAATTACTTCTTTTTTTCCCGAAATTGTGCAATACCAAAACCGTATAGTCATCTACCTTTTTCATATCTTAACAACCTTAAAGGTCAAATGAATATATCACGATTATTGGGAGGTTTAGATCACCATTAGAATACAGGGTAATGTTTAAATGTATCAAATATAATAATGAACTTGAGATTGGATATGTTATAAACTTTTAGACCACAAACGGAGACAGATCCCAATGATGAATAGGAGAATTTCAGAAGATTTTGCAATTATTACGGCGATTGTGACCATTTAATATGGATTGATTCAAATGACGACGAAAATTGCAACTGAAAAACATTCTGAAAATTGTGTCATGGAACTTACAAAGTGTAAGAAATTTAAAAAAAGGTGTGTTAAGAGAACATGAGAATTTCTGGGTAATAACAAACACAAAAAAGGCACTTCTTCTTCTTACGGTGCCTATCCGTTACGACTGTTGGCGATCAGCATAGCTATCCTAACGTTACTTGCATCTATTCGGAATAGTCCGGTTGTAGAAATATTGATCCACTTCCTTAGGTTTTGAAGCCAAGATATTCTTCTTCTCTATGGTCCAAACACCTTGCCCTAAAGAATAAGTTGCAATAAGCCATATCTCTGTTCATTTCTCATATCATGACCAAGATATTCTAATTTGCGCTCTTTGCTCTTTGAAAAAGGCACAAGAAATGAAAAATTCGGTTGCTATACCAGAATTTACATTAGAATACAAAAAAATAATAGAGCAAAACTAGATTAGTTTTAAACGTCCAGATGGCGGACCCAACTCTAACTCTTGCTGCTTTCGTTTCCTGGGCAAAATTAACTGGGGATCACACATGCCTCCTGGAAGGATCCACTTGCAGAAAAATACAACTCCACAGTCGCAGTTCCACCTCTCTCAGATGATGTTTAGGGTAGGCACACAGGTAGGCACGCACAGCGTGCCAACCTACCGTTTCCTTTCGTTGCTATGATTTTAGTTTATGTCCTTTTGGATTCACGCTAATGTCGGTCTTATCACAATTAAAGATAGGAGCAGAAGTCAATTTATATTTATCAATACATTCTTTTAAGTTCGGTATTTTGAATTTCAAACTTTGGTAAGGTTATATAGCAATACTTTAAAGATCTATGGAGGTTAAGAGAAACCTCCAATATATTGAGAGTTTATTTCAATAGTACTTAATGATGAATAAGGAATAAGAAGAACTTAGTCACTTACCTTCAGATCTGAAATCGATAGAAAATGCAAAAAAAAACAAGAAAAATCACAAATACGTTATAAATAGGGGAAGGGTGTACAAAATGACATACATTTTAAAAAAATCGAAAATTGTACTTAAAGAAAACATTTTTTTAAACAAAACTTGGATAGAACACAAACTAAAGTATTGAAACACTTCAGATAAGTTTTTAACAAA